GCTTATCTGTACCGTGTAAATTTTTATATTTCTCTACATAACTTTTTTTTTTAAATAAGAAAAGTGAGAAATAAATCTGGAAATATTCAGAATTATTCTAAAGACTGTAATAATCTTAAATTTCTTTCCAGTTATAAACATCAACACTCATAAATTGCGGTATAATGGCTAAAATTCAGGCTGTGTCCCTGGATATTTAAACGAAGGTTTATCTGTACTGCACATGGAAGCATATTTTTAAGGACTTAAGGGCTTATATCTCTTTGACCTTCTGTTCAGAACACTTTACCAACATGAATAAACTAGTTGAGGGAAATGTGTCATAAGACAGAACTATAAGGAAGGAATCCCAGATGTGTGTTAAAAGAATCCACTGATCAGAAAGAAAAAAACCTATGTAAGCCAGTATTCTGTTTCCAGAGTGAGCAACCAGATGTCTTTCAGAAGCCCACAGATACAATAACTTTGTATACCCCCAACAATTGCTATAAGAGATTTCATGATGTGTGTAAAACAATGTTATATTTCCCTTGAACTGACTAATCTGAGCATTTTGAGGTGATTCATCTGTTTCCAGAAGTTTATCTTCCAGAACAGGAAGTGATACATGGTGTTCCAGTGCAATCTGGCCCTGAAATGGGGAACATTAATTCTAGGAATAGACATGCAGTTTTACATATGCCTGCAAAATGATTTTGAGACTAAAAGTGATATCATGAATAGTGGACGTTAATAGCCTTTCCTCCTTGAATTTCTCTAATTCCCTTTTAAATGTGGTCTGATTAAACACTTGTGGGACTATGTTAGATAGAATCTGGAGTAGAAACCAGTGTTGATAAAAGATAGACTCCACTGATAGACAGAACGTCTTGCAACATTAATGGATTTTTCTCCTTTTTCATTTCTCAAATAATTTTGATGCTGACAAGAGAGGAGTCAAAGGCTTAATTTTTTGAACACAAAGATCTTGAATCAGTTGCATTCAATCTGACAAGGCCCTACAATTTCTTCTCTTTTTTTCAAGTGCACTATACTTTATTTCCTGCCAAGACAGGAAGGCAACGCTACTAAAGGTACTGACTATGAAATTACATGTATGAGCATATCTTAAAAGTGGGAATAAAACTCTCAATGAAGCAGAATAATTTGATAGTGACTCTCCATGCTTGGAAACTGCAAGATGCAATTTTACACTGCTTTGAGTACAAGTGTCCTTTGAGCTGTCATGCAGAAATAGTTTTTTCTCCTTGAAAATGGGGTTTTCCTTTCATCATTCAGGAATATGCGGCTGTCGCTCTTCATTGCCATCAATACAGGGAACAGTGATTGTTCTTGGAGCAGGCGATACTGCCTTTGATTGTGCAACATCAGCTTTGCGCTGTGGAGCTCGCCGTGTTTTTGTGGTCTTCAGAAAAGGATTTACTAATATACGGGCTGTCCCCGAGGAGGTAAATTTCACAAAATTGAAGGGAAATATTAATAAAAATGCTTTAAAATATAAAATGCTGATTTATTATTATGTTGCTCAGGCCAAACTACATATTGTACATAGTCTTGTGCAATATCTCTGTAATTTTAAAAATAGAACAAAACGAAGCAAAAAACCAAGTAACAGCTGTTGCAGACAAAGAAAGACCATATCACACAGCAGAATGAGGGCTGGCTTACAAGCAAAGCACCATCAGTGTTTGTTCCCTGTCCTGATCGTTCTTTCACGCTACTGGGTAGAAATAAAAAGAAGTAGTGCTGTTGAGAGGGTTGGAAACAATCCAGTCTTAAACCCCTGGAAAATATCTCACTTCATCTTTTCTACATGTAGCCCTGGAAAACCAAATTCAGAAAGTGCTGGTCATGTTGATTCTTTCACAGTCAGTAGCAAAATAAAGTATCACATTTGTCATTATATATGACATTGATTACATTACATTACATTACATTATATTATATTATATTTATATATAATATAGTATAGTATATAGGATAGTATATATGATGAATATATAGAATATACTACATATTGTACACATACAGGTTAGTTTTACAGTCATATGCATATAGTATATAGTATAGTATATATATTGAATATATAGAATATATTACATATCTGACAAATATATGATATGTGTTGGTGTACACACACACACAGAGTTTAATATTGAAATTGAATAGAGCAGAATATTCAAGTCCTTCACCATACTTTTCTCACTTTGTAATTTATAGACTTTCCTGGTAAGGTTGTTCATACTTTTTGGTCAGTGTGAATTTTCAAGGATTTTGATCTACTCAATACTACAATAATGTGTGAATTTAAGCACATTTGTAATTCAACTTCCTTGTTTTTTCCAAAATTTCTTAGGTTTGAAAACTTACTAAAGTACATAAAAATGTACGTTAGAAAAAAAATGTAGAAGAGAACCCTGAAGGAAGACAAGTGATACTGATACAGATCAGACTTGAACATCCTGATATGACAGTTCATTCTAGAGTTAATTCAACTTGCTACCTATCAAATGATGAGGACTCTTTAAATGTGAAGGAACTACATGTGTAGCTGAGATGAAGAAAGTGCCCAGTTTCCATGAACACACCCAAGTTTAGCAAGCCTGTAATTTAAAGGATTCTGGAATTGTGTTGGCTCATGATCCAAATAAATCTGTGACTTTAGACAATACATATCTTATTTTATTTTTATTTGTTAATTTATATCCCATCTTTCCTCTAGGAGTTCAAAGAGGTATATATCACATTCTCTTCTCTGATTCTGCGCCCCCCCCCAAATTGGGAGGTAGATAGGGCTGAGAAAAAGTTGCTAATTCAAAGTCACTCAAGGGGCTTCCATGCCAGAGTGTGTACTTGAATCTGGGTCTCCCAGTCTTAGTGTAACACCATTAATCATTATTCCATGCTTGCTCATTTTTTTGATGAGTTGGTTTACTTCTGTGACATAACTGTAAAACCTGGCCTTTTGGTAAAGAACATTTGAGTGCAGGGACACTCCTATTATATCTATATCTATATCTACTGTATATTTATCTATCTATATCCCTGCCTGATGCAATAATATATACAACTTCCAGGTGTATCTGAAGAACAGCCAGAAATTGTAGATGTATATGTGAAATAATAGATATCTTTAGAAATTAAAATGTTGAATTTAGGAGTAAAATGCACATATTTCAAACTATAACTTAATTTGGAATTAACTTCCAGTTCCAGTAAACATCTACATATACTGAGCTGCTGATTGGCAGTTTATAATCATTTGTTTTATTATGAAAGCTTTTTAGTTTCAGTTTTAATTATTGCAATGTGATAGAGTGTCTTTGCTGTAATTTATGTGCTACATACCATGAATTACTGCATAATTTACATTAATGAGACACTGAATATGCCCCAGCTAGAAAATATATGGGGAAATATCCCACTCCCTTCAGTAATAGATACACAGGGGAGACAGAGGTAACTTAAAGAAAGAAAGATTTCAAGATACACAGTTCATATTTTGAAGTGTTTGTCATAGTATTAAAATTTAGGGAAAGATTATTTGGAACAAGTATAATAAATACATTAATTTATTCAGCACCACTCTAATTGCATCCCACTGGTCTTTGTTTGTATAACTTCCCTCTCACAGGAGAATAAATATTGTTTGCAAATGACAAGCTTTCCCCCCTAAAATATTAACTAACTTTAGTTTCCAATATCTATTGCAACAAATACCCTAGTCCTCTACAAACAATTCAGTCAGCAAAATCAAAAAAATTCCAAATATGGAATATGACTGAACCCAACTTTTATGCATCTCATGGACAAAAGCCATTAGAGCATGACACCTTTAACTATAGTGTCCTAATTGCTATTGTGATTATATATCACCCTTTTTATTAGTACAGTTATAATTTCCACATCATAAGTGAAAAGAAACAGAACACAATGAGCCACAATATTTTATTCTATTAAAAGATTTTAAGTTCCATACCCAATTTGCCATCCTCTTTTTGTTATGTGCCCATTTTTTCCCTGAAAACTTTTCTATGCTGTGTTAACACTGAAATAATTAGCAACTTGTATGTTTGCAACAAAATGCTTTCCCGGTTGCCAGGCCTTTCACAGCAAGCCAGATGAGAAAACATTATGGAAGAAAAATAATTGGTTGCTTAGAGAGATGGAGGGAAGGGGGGGACTTTGTTTCTTTATCTTATCTGTATTGCTTGGCAAGGGTCATCATCCTTCCTATTCCCCCTTCTTCTTCATTAATATGGAGAGTGGAGAAATAGGAATAGCTGGCCAGGCAGCTGCTGGAAGTAACTGGGTAGGAAAATGCTAACAGCCCTTTCCTTGTCCCTATTCAACGTTTATAATCCCAGCTGGCCAAAATAATGTTGCTGCCTTAAGTAGAGGTGAAGATTGTGTTCCGTCCACATTTCACACAATGAAGCCAATTGATTAGTATTCAAATCTTACCTCATTGTCAGTTGAGAGTAGTGGTATAATGGTTAAAGTGCTAGATGAGAGGGGATCAGGTTCAAGTGCAATCATGAAAACTCCCTTAATGACTGACCCAACCACTATTTCTCTGTCTAACCCTTCCTATTTATTTATGTATTAGTTAAATTTATATAGCCATCCATCTCACTACTTTGACACTGGGCAGCTTACAAATACAAAAACAATCAGAGAAATATAACCACAAAAATCATTCAAAACAATAAAAACTATTAAAAACCATAAACACATAATCGGTGAGACAACACAATTCATTTTCCTAACAGGCTCTCCACTAACCTCACTGGATCCGCAAGCCAGATGACAATGCCATGTCTTCAGGCTTTTCTGGAAGGTCAGGGCCAATCTCACCTCAAGGGGAATTATGCTCCTTTTTTCCCCCATCCCAATCTAGTTTATAATCCTGACAGCTCTGGTGGTCTCCCACTAAGTACTAACCAGGGATCTGACCTTACCTAGCATTTGTGAGATCAACCACGGTTGGCTACACAGTGCCATCAGGTGTGAATTACCCTTAATTGTTTCAGGGTTTTTGTTGTTGTTGTTTTGCTCAAAGTAAAAAAATGCATTGTGGATATAGAGGGCTGTGTGCCTGATTTTTTTTTTTCTCTTCAGTTGTTACCTCATTGTAGCAATTTCAAGAAATGCAGCTACTAGAATGTTCATCCTCCCAAGTTCAGGAATTAGTCTTATGTGATGTCATCTTTCTGGAGCTATTTCAAATTGTGGCCTCATATATCACACATTCTCCTGTTTTACTCCAAATTATGCATTGCTGTTAAGCTGGCAAAAAAATAGATATACATCTTTGAAAATTTCATTTTAGTAAAAAAAATAAATAAATCTAAATTGTTTTCTTTCCTTGGGGGGAGTGGTAGCTGTCAAGTACTTTCAGAAATGCTGTTCAGAAAGGATGGATACTGAAATTCAGGGCAATGCACAGTTCTATACTCTGTTATCCAAAGAAATTAATCAAATTTGCTCTGCTGTTGTCCTTCCTTGCAATAGTAGTTCTAGGTAGAGCTTGGATATTAGTTTCTACTTCTGTGCTCAGCTCTACATGTAGCTTTATGTTTCTTTCTATCAGCTCTCAAAGAAATCCAACAGAAGTGGGAAATTACAAGTTACGTTTCACTGCTTATGTTTGTAACCACTACTATTTTTATGACATCACTACTGATAATAGAATCATAGAGTTGGAAGGGACCTTAGAAGTCATCTGGTCCACTAGAACATGTCTGACCGATGGTCATCCAGCCTCTGTTTGAAGACCTCTAAGAACACCTATGTATACATTTTAAAGGGAGATATCTACAAAAAGAAAGTGATGAGCAAAAGCTTTATTCAACAAAGTGTTGTGAGAGGCTAGGATCCATTATTTAAGGGTTTTCTGAAGAAATAGCCCCCATTCCCCCCAAACTGGGAATGGTCCCTTTTAGCTTCAGTTCAGTTCCTTACTGTGATGGAATGTGAGGGTGACCCTGGAAGACGGCCAAAAGAGATGCAGTCTAGGGAACGATCAGATAAAAGAGAAAGGACTCTGCAACAGAGTAATGGCCAGAGAAAGAAACTTAGGAAGGACCCACCCTAACTACTCAGGTGGTAAACAGGGAGGGTGGGAGATTAGTACTTTCAAACTTGCAAGATTGATGTCAGCCTTCCCAGGTAAACCAGACAGGAAAACAACTAGATGAGCTAATTCTACTTTATTGTAAGGCTACATTTACAGAATCTTGCAAGTCTGAAAGTACAAATCTCCCGCCATTTCTTTTACAGCCTGAGAAGTTAGGGAGGTTTCTTTCTGAGTTTCTTTCACTGGCCATTACTCTGTTGTGGACTCCTTTCTCTTTTATCTGATCGTTCCCTAGGCTGTATCTCTTCTCCCTGTCTTCCAAGGTCACCCTCACATTCCATCACACTTACCTAGATACGTTCAAATATCATGTTGGTCTGTAAAGATACTATTCTCTAGTTGAGAAAACCTTTAATAAATCCCAATTTTTCTCTTAATTAGTGAGGTATAATTCATGATATAGCAATAGATATTTGGGAGAAAGGAGAGTTGAAAGTAGATCATGCCAATTTGCCATTCTCAACCACAAAACAAAAATCCTGAGTTTAATTTCTTTAAATACTCTTTTTTGGGGGAAATCAGAGAAATTACAGCTATCTGAAATAGGAATGGGTAGAATTATAACCATTTGTCATAGAGGATGAAGCCTTATTAATATGGAATATTTTGAAAGAATGGAAATTAGTAAAAGTAGTTATAAGTTATCTTTCAAATACAAGAGAAGATGAATGAGCAAAATACTTCTGTCCATTTTTCATTATAGGCCTTCCCATATTCAGGCACTGAAATCATTTGTAAATTTTGAGATTTGGACACCTCAGCCAGTAGCTCATAATGAAATTTATGTATGTCTACTTGATTTTTCCAGCATAGATTGGATCGTTTTCTCTTAAATCATTATTATAGTAATGAAGGGTAGCATAATCATTTTTCATAAAATCAAACTAATTTTTGCTTGTAATTTAAAATACAAAAGTCTCCTAACAGATGTTGATAACTAAAAACAATACCCTCCAGAAAGGTATGGGTGGTACGTATTATTTGATACTGTTTTCATTTAATCAAAATATTATATTATTATATTGTTCAAATATATATATATATCACTTCCTAGTACTGGACTTTGTAGAAAAATTGCAAAGCAAGATTATAAGACCAACAGTTATATATTAAATGCTTCCCTGTAAATCTATACATAATTTTATTTTTCCTCTCCAGATGGAGCTTGCAAGGGAAGAAAAGTGTGAATTTCTACCTTTCCTTTCTCCTCGGAAGGTTGTAATAAAAGGAGGAAAGATTGTTGCTATGGAATTTCTCCGGACTGAGCAAGATGAGGATGGAAATTGGAATGAAGACAAGGAGCAGACTATCCGTCTGAGAGCAGATATAGTGATTAGTGCCTTCGGTTCAACCCTAAATGATCCTAAAGGTATTTCTCAGTCACAAGGGTTATGATCCAGCCAAAATCAAGTACTTAACATTCCAGAGGGAAAGTTAAGCTTATGCCCCCCTTTCCTCATTGCTTAAAAGATATTTAATTAGCTGGATTGTCCCCTGACATGTATTTCATTTATTAAGGCCAAACATGACATCTGAAATGAACACATTTCAAATAGCTGAAAAATATATGTGAAAGAGTACTAGATGTTTAAAAATAAATACATAGCCGATAGGTTTTGTTACTTCATTCATGGATATCATACTTGCTGTGTTACCCCCATCAGTAACCTTAATATGGAAGACCAAGAAATCCATCTTGTTTCATCCAACTTTGCTCCAAACCTAGATGGGTACAAACAAACTTTTGGTAGATACCAGCAGCTTTTTTATTCTTATTATTTTTATTACATTTGTATCCTGCCCTTTCTGTGGGAACTTGAGGTGGAATAATTTATCCTTTAATTTTACCATCACAACAACAGTCCTATGAGATAACAGTCCCAGAGTCACTCAGTGAGTTCTTTACTCAAAGAGTGACTTGAACATAAATATTCCTAAATGAAAACCAAGACCTCAGCCATTGTATTGTACTATATTACACTGTACTGTCTCTGCCTGTGTTTACTTGATTTCCAGTGGCTCAAAACTGTGTACTGACATCACTGCAATAGGTTTCTTTAATCAAGAACGGGCAATATATTGCCCTCTATATATTTAACTTCTAATTCCCATCAGTCATGGTCAGAACAGTTACTGATGAAGGATGATGGGAATTGCATTCCAAACACATCTGGAGGGCCACATGTAGCCTACCCATCTTTCTGAATATCATAATGGTATGATATCTGTTCACAAAGGTCTCTGTAAGAGATGTTCTAGATCTGCAAGCTGAATCCAGAAAAGGAACAACCCCCCCTCCCCGACAACCTGCAATTGCTGCCTTATTAACCTGTATATACAATGGTAGCTGCTTGGAATAACTAGAGAAATGCTTTCTGTCAACAAAGAGGAGGATAAATCTGAATCCCACATACAAGTGGAAATGCTTTAGGAGTCCTAAATAGTATTCTCATCTGCAATAATTTTTTCCTGTGCTCTTTTAAATAAATGAAAATTAAACCAAATGGGCTTCTGATTTGGTTTTATTTTTCTTTTATCACAAAACGAATGCACAATTCTAATGCTGAACATGATGGACCTTTGGAATGATTTAATAGGCTCCTTTTCCTTTCCTTTCTTTTCTTAAGCTTTGCTTCCAGATGCCCCAGCATTTTGTTTCAAAGAGGATTTGATTTATTTATTTGTGGCTGATGTCTGAAAAGAAAAGATACAAGCAACTACATCTGAATCTTAATAGAAGTTCTAAGTGCTAAAGTTTAATTAGATCTTATAAGAGCATATGTGAAAAGCTTGACTACTCCTTAGAAAGTTCACCATATCACTTTGCTAGTATCTATAGTCTCATCCAGCAGTAATGCAATATCAATCAGTTTAGTAGTCTTCCTATGTTTATCCTCTTTTATTGTAGCCCTGGGGTGAACACAGCAACTAATGCTGAATCCAGCAGCATGATTAAATCTCAGCTTTCATTAAAAAAAAGTTTGTGAGATGTTGCAGAGGATCAAATTGACGCTGTGGCTAGCCATAATCAATAGAAAATTTTTGACTGGAAGGTAGCAAGCAGCAGCGATTTCAGGATGTGGGGGGGGGGGGAGTGCAGACATTTGGGTCTGAGATATATTATGACTTTATGGAGGGCCTCTAGGCACAGCCCACCAGAAAATACTGTTCTCTGCCATATGCCAGTTTTCCAGCATATCCTTTGGTACAATGATATTTGATATCTGATGTACTTTGCTGTGCCAATAAACGATGCAGTTTTCATGTTTGTAACATTCAGAGATTATATTTCTGACTATATTTCCAAGGTGGGAGACAAATTCTAAGCAAAATTTAAGTGTTAGGCTAATACAAGATAAAATAATTTAAAGAGGTTGTGTTCTAATTCTTCTATAGTATATTAACCACAGATATTATGCTTGAAGTAGAATATCCCAACACAATGATCTAGAACATCCCCAAAAAAATTTTCCTCCCAAGGACTAACCCCTCTTGAACTGGTGATTCTGGAAATAGTTGCCTGTCATAATTGTCTTACACAATCTAGTTTTCCTGATTACTGTACTGTGTTTCTTTTCACAGTAGTCTAATCAGTCACAACAGGAAACATAGTCATTGTAAATGATAAATATGTATTTATTAGTAGTTTTAAAAATGAATAATGTAAAGTAGCTTTAAAAAGATGAAACAAATGAAATAATATCCACAATACAAATAGCCTGCCACTTTGGTCGATATACATTTCTGAATTGTAAGAATTAATTTTCTTCTTTCCTCTGCATTTCAATTTTCACCTGATTGCCATGGGGACTGCATTTGCTACTAAAATGCCATTCATTGCTTTAGCAATAGTTGTTATTTATATAACATATATAGGAACTCTCCTCTACTCAACTACTGGCCTATCTATTTAGTTTAGTATTATATACACTAACTTGTAGGGTGTTTCTAAGATTGACTGAAAGCCTTGCAGGCACTCTTCAAAGACTCTCCAAAAGTTGCCAGCATGTGTGTATAATCTATAATTACACACAAAATCAGTGCTGCAAAAATTACCCAGGTTGAAGTCAATGGAAGCTTTTTTTCCCTATTGTTATTGCAGGGAAATGGGGCAGAGAATACCATGATCATATAGAAATGTATGATTAACTTATTACTTCATGGTCCAGATGTTCCAATTTCCTTTCTTAAAATTCATATAATTGTTAGATATTTAATATTATGCATATTTAGGATTTCAGTCCAAACCAAAGTTATCCTAAGTAATATATGTTGCTTTGTTTGCTTCCTTTGAAATAACATGAATAGGAAGCAGGATGATACAGAAAACATGTATTGCATGTAATATCTTTTCTGATAAAGTCCCATTAGAAATGACAGAATGTGCATAATTATCACTGATGTTACTTTAAAGAATGATGGAACTGAAAAGACTTACTTAAAATGACTATTTTTTTAGTCTGCATCACATTGGTGAGAATTATGTTAGACAGTTACTTTGAAGCACAATGTGATCATTCTGTAATTATTTTTCCTTTCCCAAATACCTGTAGAAGAATAGGTTTTTCTCCCCTGTGAATAGCTATGCTCAGAGTTTCTGCTTATCATTATTTGCCAGGTTTCACTAGGAGTTGATACCACATATGCTCTTGCTAAGAAACCATTGATAAATCTTAAGTTTGGTACCAGACCTGAGGCAGAATAATGTATTTTATTTCCACTTTACTTATGATAAAGAACCAAATGGAGAAAAATATATCTTCTGCATTGTTTTTTAGGATACAGAAGTGCTTAGTTTTTCGTAAGGGGCCAAACCATCCCTAAATAAGCAAGCCAATATAAATAACATGGACTTTATTTAGATGAGATGGACCCTATTGATTGCAATATCATTTGAGTAGAAAAACAATGTTATTCTGGTAATTAAGACATCATAAAGCAACAAAGTTCAACACCATTTTAGAGTTACCAGTCCTATAGTTTATAATGTAAAAATAAAAAAGGGTGAGTGTTCTCAGGATAAATGCATGTATTATTTTGTAGGGAGAATGATAAATGTATGAATATTCAGTATGGGAATGGATTTAGATTTTCATTCCCAGTGGCAGATCATGGCAGAACAATCATCAGAAATAAAGTCCAGCTACCATTTCTCCTTTTCCAATTAAAAAAAAAATCCAAAGTTGAGGTGGGGGATCATCTCACAGTCAGAATTGTGTTCTTTTCAGGAAAATATCCTGAAGTGAGGTGGATATCCTGTTCCATAGGGAAAGTATTAAAAAACAGATGTAGGTCAATCACAATGACAAGGTTAGAAATAGGAAAAAAAACAGTTATGTTGGGTCCTGGTAGTTATTTTGAAATGAATGAATAGGAAATGAGGAATCCATTAGTCTGCTCTCAACTGTAGGCTTTTTTGCTGTGGTCCCTAGAGACTCTAAGCACTAGTTCCTGTGCATTGAGGGCTAAGTAATCAGAAGGACCACTCATTTCTGAGTAGACTTGTTACCTTTGAATAGATATTCCTTGTAATTAAGCACTGTTGTCTTTCTCGGTTTTCTGACCTTGAGCAAATCTTAATCATCAACTTTTCCTCCTCCCCCTCCCCCTCCCCCACCTCATCTGGGTACTGCTTCCTAGTTTACAAATTTGAAGTTGTTTACATCAAAGCAATACATTAAAACAATTTTAAAAAATGGTCAATTAAAAATTTGTGAGGAAGAAGGAAAATACCAGCAAAACAAACCCATTCATACAGTGAAGGTAAGTCTTTAATAGTCACATTAAAAGTGTAACCCTAAGTGTCTCATGAATTTAGGGTTCCAGAGTGCAGGCATCACCACTAAGGAGGAACTCTGAAGCAATTTGCACGTGCGGAAGACCTCCCCAGATGATGATAGCAATCAACATGGTTTCTAATGGAATAGCTATTGGTCAGATATCCTGGTCCTGAGTTGTTTAGTTCAAAAGCAAAATCCTGAACATGGCTTGGTAGCTAATTGACTGCCAGTTCAATTGCTTCAGTAATGGTGTAACATGCATAACCAAGTGCCCAACTCAGCAATTTGTCTATCACATTCTATACCTGCTGGTGTCCATACCATGGACAGGGATAATCTTAATTTAAGATGACTAGTTGTGAACCAATGTAATTAAACTATCTCTGTCCAGAAAAAGGCCTAATTGATATATCAATAGAAGATAGTACTTGGCAGTCCTACTCCCAGTTTACTTGAGTCTACAATCTATATAATTGTCCTTCCAGATAGAATGCAATTCTTCAGAATAGGCACTCTCACCCTCTCAATTTCTATATGCAGGACCACTCAACTACAAGTTGTTTTGGTTCTTATCTGCGTTGCCACTGTG